CCTAATTTCTTATTTATTTGTTTACGTAAAGAACGAAATATGAATTTGAGATGATAAACCCCCTGTTAGCCTGGCAATCGTTAACAGGTCCATTGACCTTTCATGGATTGCATCAACTCCTGTGAAGACGTGATAGTGACGTTGATGGCGACAGCTATTGTATCCGCCTCTATCTTATCTTCTATTTCTAAATTCAGGTATAAAACCACGCAGTATAAAAATGAATGTCACATATCTTTTTAAAACATTTTCTTTTTGTCGGTCTGACGAGAGTCTCGTTATTTATGAGATATCATTCTAAATAATCATAATAAGATAACATCTAATTAACTAAATCAGATTTCTTATTCAATGAATTAAATATCTATTTTTTGTGTAACTATATATCTTATTTATTAACTATGGTTATTTAGTAAAATTGATATCTTTGAAATTAAATATCTCTTTTTTATAAAATATATCTAATTAGATGGCTGACATCGAAAATAAGATTGTAAATTGTATAGTAAGTAAGATATTTTACCAAATTTAATGATTCAGCAAAATTTGATACCTCATAAACTTTAGATACAATATGCTATAAATAAATATGTACAAATAGGGTATCTTATCTTATTCATAAATCTGAATTATAAATCATATTTGATAAATTGTATATCATATTTCATAAATTATATATCATATATATTCATAAATTATATATCATATTTCATAAATTATATATATATGATCATATTTCATAAATTATATATCATATTTCATAAATTATATATCATATTTGATAAATTGTATATCATATTTCATATATAATTATTGTATATCATATTTCATAAATTATATAAATTGTATATCATATTTCATAAATTAGATGTCATATTTGTCATATTTCATAAATTATATATCATATTTCATAAATTATATAATTCATATATCATATTTCATAAATTGTATATCATATTTCATAAATTATATATCATATTTCATAAATTAGATGTCATATTTGATAAATTGTATATCATATTTCATAAATTAGATGTCATATTTCATAAATTGTATATCATATTTCATAAATTAGATGTCATATTTGATAAGTTAGATGTCATATTTGATAAATTAGATGTCATATTTCCTAAATTAGATGTCATATTTGATAAATTGTATATCATATTTCATAAATTAGATGTCATATTTGATAAATTGTATATCATATTTCATAAATTATATATCATATTTCATAAATTAGATGTCATATTTCATAAATTGTATATCATATTTCATAAATTATATATATATTTCATAAATTAGATGTCATATTTGATAAATTGTATATCATATTTCATAAATTAGATGTCAATTTGATAAATTGTATATCATATTTCATAAATTATATATCATATTTCATAAATTAGATGTCATATTTCATAAATTAGATGTCATATTTGATAAATTAGATGTCATATTTCATAAATTATATATCATATTTCATAAATTATATATCATATTTCATAAATTAGATGTCATATTTCATAAATTAGATGTCATATTTCATAAATTGGATGTCATATTTCATAAATTGTATGTCATATTTCATAAATTAGATGTCATATTTGATAAGTTAGATGTCATATTTGATAAGTTAGATGTCATACTTGATTTTGTCAAGTACAGCACTGGGTCAGCATTTCTCTATGAGACACCATTGAAAATAAGTCACTTTTGATGATCATTTGGTGGTTGGGACACACAACCCTTAGTCAATGCTGGGCTTTATATTGTCCCGTGCTACAAGGATGGTTCCTGTCGTACTATCAGCCTGAACTTTAATGCACTTTAAGCTCCTCTGTTATTATATTTAAAAACAAAACTTGTGATACGTTTAGAGTTGATCGCGGAAAGATTCCATCACATGTACATATGATGTGTATAGTATGATATATGCCTACACATATTGTAAAATAATACTAAAAACCCTACTGTTCTATACATCAACTTGAAACTGTATTGTGATCTGTGTGAGCTGAATAGCATAGTGTGTTATTTTAATATAATGTGATATCATATGATATCATGTGATATGCTTCATTACCGGAATGTATGATCATCATTATTACAGATAACAGTTTCCTGGACTGCAGTCGCGTGACCCGTTTGAAACGGTTCAGTGGTCTGGATGTTGGACCCGACATATGTAAAGCTCAAAATGCACAGTTCCGGAATTTCCTGTCAAGTATAAAATAAAGAGATAAAATTAAGATACCATCCATTTCACTCATACTTAATAGCACAATCTTTTCGGAAATATGTGTGTCCATCAATTCTACTTCTGCTGAAATCCTGAAAACTAATTATATTCAGCAATTTAGTTTCGGACAGGTACGGTTGGGCCCCTCAATCTGCATGTGGCGAATATTCCAAAGTCCGGCCTCGATCCCGATCTATGCCTGACGTTTTTCTTGTTAGTTCAGCTGATGCAGCAATTTCAACTGCTTACGCGAAAAGCTGGGTCGCTTTCCTTTATCCGGTCGTAACGGCACGCAGGTTCCACGGTTTCGTTCCGCTTAAAAGCACTTGTTAGCACCCCATTTTCGTTCCAATATGACGACCAGTGACAATTTTACCAGATACTTTACTTTAAATATTTATATTTTGGAAGATTTCTAGTTTCTGATACATTGTTTTCGGACATCGACAATAATAATGATTTTGAAACAGCTTTATCATTAAGAGCAAGAAAAAGACATTAAATCTGATCGAGATTTTAAATTAATTAGTCCAGCTTACTTTATCATAAACTCCTCTGCAAAGTCAATACAATCAGAGACGTGTGTGATATATACGTCTCTGATACTATGTGAGGAAAAGTCATGAAATAAGCCTCAGATAAGGATAAGACATAAGTAATTATAGATTATAGATCAACTACTTATTTAAACATCAAAACAAACCAGTACCATGTGCATTGAAAAATACGTATTAAGTAAATATTTTTAGGAATTTATTATTTTATTGTTGAATTATTTGTTAATCAAATGAGTATAGATGTCAATGACCATACATATTTTTAGTTTGATATTAGAAACTTCTGTATTACTGTTTTCTTGGTGTTTTCACAGTTGAAGACAAAACAGATAATATAATAGCATATGATAATTATGAAAATGCTTACATTCCTTGTTAAGAAAATTATTTTTCAGTTATGCGAAAATGTTATTTAAAAATGATGTTCCCAATCAATGCAAGAACATGTATTTTGGGTAAATAAAATTCTATCAATTGATAACAATGCATTTTCAAAGAAGCCAAGTTTTTTTGTTTGTTTTTTTTTTTTTTTTTTTTTGTAACATTTGTTCTTATTTCAATTGCTACATTTATTGGCTTTATATCAGACACTTTCCGGTTTCCTATTATTTTTTTTCTTTCCTTCTCAGCAGAGTTCCACAGTAGTATATGAACTGTGGTTGATGGAGAACATCACTTAAGCATCAGATGAATTTCTCATACTAAATGGCGTAAAATCAGTGTATTTTTAGTAAATGCTGTAATTTCTATTAATTTTGTTAATTATTTTAATTGAAGTAAATCAACGTTATCTATGTATGTGTTTTCTAATGTACACAGTACATAGCTGTGTGTGATTTATCCATCAGGGATTGGACCCAATCTCTCGAATACAAGTTTCCATTTCATTCATTTCACTTTACTCTAAAAAGGTGATTGAGGTCCTATTTTTAGCTGTCAATTTCAAATTACAATGAAGATTTAACTGTAGAATGAGTTATTGTAAAAACAACAACTGCTGCATGTAATTGGTTTGTTTATCTTTCTACACTTTTCCTAAATTCCCACTTTGCCTTAGCCCAATTCCTATTTCGCCTTAGAACATTTCCACCTGTTTCATACCAAAATATGTAACTAAGGTGAAATGGGAACACACCAAATTACCAGATCAAGCAAATTCTTGAATTTAAAATCAAATAGATAAACTTTTCATGTTTTGATTACAATTATTTTCAAGAATGAGTATTACATTTTATAACATTATGTGTTTGGAAAAGTGAATTATTACAATTCATAAAATATAGGGTAGTTTCGCTCTCCTTACACTACTGCTAGTCTTCATCCAATTGTAAAGTTGAAAGTAATACATCAGCCAAACTCCTGATCAAATTAATCACTAATGTCGTTATATTGACTAATGTATTACGGTAAATATAGTCCTATGGAACACTTTGTTGATATAATACAGAAGATGAAAAACTATTTCTCATTTTTAAATTTTGGCTAAAAAACATTGCTGTGAGAAGGTCAATTAAGAAGTAAATGTGTTAATAAACAATGAAGTTTATTATCAAGGGTAGGAAATTGATTCAAACATTTATAAAGTTTGTCGTTACTATAATGAAGGTAATGCATGAATATTTTTTTTTCTTTTATACATGAAACAGGAAATTATTAATCAAAGTGTAATACCATTGTAGTAGTATGATGCAACTCTGAGTTAGAATGTTATTGTAATTTGCTGAAAACAGAAAGTTTGACAATACAATCATCATAAGACTCTGGAACAGTTATTACAGAGATATACCATACAAATGTGACTGAATTAATTAGTAAGTTACTCTTTAAACAGGATAATGCCGCAGGATTACTTTTCCAAGCTCTGTAAGAATATGATCAAGCCTATCATTATGAATAAATAAACCAAATAAACCCCAGTACTGAAAATTATTTATCAATCATTTGCTATTTATAATATATATATATTTAATATTGGACCTCTTCAGTCAAAACGTGCCTGCGAAAACGGCCAGAAACGAAAACGACTGGTCTGTCCGTTACAACTACATAAACGACAGGACTCCGAGTGTCGCCACCTCTGTTTGGGGGTGTGGAAAGTATTAGTTTCTAACGATCGCTACCATTAGTCAATTTGGAGGTGTGTCTATAAAAAGGAACTAATCATAAACGTGGTTACATTTGCTAACAGAGGCACACGTTCAAGGACAAGATGGTGAGTGTTGACTTTGTAAACTGTTTTGTTATTAGGCACAAGTAACCATTTAGATCGATCTTAGATTATATTTCATCATGCTTAGTATCATATGTTTATCTAATTTCAGACAAGCTATACAGACAAAGGCGAAAAGGTACGTGACATTGGATAGATCAGCACTTTCACGTCCAATTTTATCTGACCTGAGTCAACAAAAACAACCAGGATGAGATTGATACTGTAGACATCTCTGACCAGTTTTCATGGACTGACAACCTTTACCATTTTAGCTAATGGATTATTTCTTTTCTTTTAATACCCTAAATAAGTCATCAATTATACTTCCGGTTGCATTCTATACTTGATGGGACACGTAGACGCGTCTTAAATTTTGTGAGAGTTAATTCCCTTACGTTGTGATTGGTTTGAATGACAATATACTTGTACATCTATCGTGATGGATTGTAAATACTTTTTGGGTAGCGTCACGTTATGTTGACTGTAATGTAATGTTATGTAATTATACAATATACACGTAAAAAAACCATTATACCAATACAATAAATCAGCTGTGAGAAGTAAAGTGGGTCATTAGTTCAACTCTGACAGTCTAATGAATAATGTATGTTGTTGACTTTTGTGTTTAGTATTATCTATTTGCATTTGTGATTATCACTGTACAAATGTTTTTTTTTTCATATTTAAATTAACATATATACAAGATTGCTATTTTTACAGCCTGAATCAGGCAGATTTGTCAGCTTCGATCATGTCACATTCTGGGTTGGAAATGCCAAGCAGGTAAAGTCTGATCTTAGTAAATTATATAAAGTTACAGAATACTATACATTTGTACTGTATGCACGTGTATTCCTTTCTGGATATAGGAACAGAGTCACAGACGACATTAGTCATTCCAGTCATTTCCCTACACACTTGTATATTAATAGGTATATACCGTAGCCAGGGAAGATGTTAAAATATTTTGTTGGAATAAGTCTACTTTTTGTTTCTCCTTTTTTCCCTTGTTTGTTTTTAATTGGTATTTTTTTTCATATTCCTTGCATTTTTAATTGTTTGATGTTTTAGTAATGTTACATTTACATGTATGTGGAGTTGGGGGTGGGAATTGGAAAAACAGAAGGAAATTTTTAAATGTTTTTCAATAGATATTAAGGTTGAATTTGGTGTCATACTGCTGTTTATTTTTTACATATATGTACTTTTGTGTTGAAGGCAGTGTTCTATACTACTCTGTATTTCTTATGTAGGCGGCGTCCTACTACTGTGCAAGGCTCGGATTTGAATTACTTGCCTACAAAGGTCTGGAGACTGGTAGTCGTGAAATGGCAGCACATGTCGTCCGCCAGAACAAAATCGTCTTTGTGTTTCAGTCCATGTTACAGCCAAACATACCAAAAGGTCAACATACTTATTTTTTTTTTTTTTTTTTTTTTTTTTTTTTTTTTTTTTTTCAATTACAATTCTATTTTCTTATTGTACATGTAGATTATTGCAAATATAAGCTCGCAATCATAAACTTTTCACTGTTCAAAACATTTTGATTTATAATACTGTACAACGGAAAGGTTATCCTGGACTAGGTTATATTCCTGCCAAAGACAATATTTTATAGACTTGATAAATGTAAATTATCAGAATATATAGTTTCAAAAAGTTTTCTGGATAACAGAGACCTGTTTACAATATTGTTTCAGAAAAGGAGGGTGTTTCTTTCTAATTTTTGCCATTTCTAATCATAATAATAATTGATAAATCAAATGCATGAAATTCAATTCCAGTTTCAGGGGTCGAAATTAACTGTTTTAGGCACTAGCAAACCATTGCTAGTGCCTAAAATTTCCACTAGCAAAGATGATGAACAAACTAGCAATTTTTTGGTGAATAGGTTTGACTTTTATTTACTGTTATATTGAGTTTTTCAGGAACTGAGTGATATTGGAAAAGTTATCCAAGACATTGGATAAGAATGGCTGATTGCTAGCTGTATCAACATTTTAAATCTATATAACTTTGAATTTATCAGTTTTCTTTTTTTCATGTATGAGCTACATCTAATCTGACTGTCATATGATCAGATCCATTTATAAATGTAACTGTACCCAAATTTATATTATTTAAAAAATTGTTCACATAAACGATCATTTCAATAAATTATTATCAAGACAACTATCTTCCGTGTTCTCGGCAGTCATTGCGCCATACTGTATTAACAACATCGTTACTAGATGATTTGTTGTATCCTAGAATAATATTCAATTCTTTTTCTCATTTCCGTACTGTTTTTAACGTGGCCGTATATGCACGTTGTTGTGGCAGTGATTTTATATCAGCAGCGTCAGAAGAAACGCTCTCCGATTTCGACGATTTATTTTTCAGAAGGGCCAGGCTGCGGCTTTTGACTATTGTCTTGGTCATCACAAGCACTGTCAGATGTTTTCCTTTTGAAAAAGTTTGTTATCATAGCTGATATGTCGCATTTCACATGATGAGCAGACAGAAATCGTAGAGTTTTCCAAGACAACTTTTTATTCGGTTTACACATAACTATCAAGGGAAAAACTGGAGGAATTCCGAATGTATTGATAATCTATGTCACTTTAGCTTTTGTAACCTATTTACACATTTAAAGGCAGACGGAGAAAGGCATTTTGTGACAGATGTTTCGTCAAAAAATAGTGATTAGGTATAGTTCATTTCCACTCGCAAAATTTTACTAGTACATTATTTTCCAGCTAGCAATTACCAGATTTTAGCTGGAATTTTTGCTAGTTGTATATAGGGAATTTCGAACCCTGCAGTTTGAAATATCTAAGAATCAAATTTGAGAGGAGGGAGCAATTTATAAGAATAAGTCAGAAGTATCCATTAGCAATCTTACTGGGTTTGATTAGCTGTATAACTAAAACTGGTTTTATTTTTAGAGATGGGCGATCATTTAGTAAAACATGGAGATAGTGCCAAGGACGTCGCCTTCGAGGTGGAAGATTTAGACGCCATATTTAAGGTGAGATGTCTCATGTTTCATCACTATGGTTTCCTGTTGATTATTTGAAAAAGTTAGTTAAGAACAGGAATTTTCTTAAACAGCTGTATAGGTGCTAAAAGGAGGGCGACCATGACTTATTTACATCTGATATTTTCCTGGAAGAAACAATATGTTGTTCCTTAGGTCTTGATTCCAAGAAGTGAAGAATGTGAAGGTATAGTTTTACCGCAAATGATAGGATTGTAATTGTAATTAGGTAATTGTAAACTTTACCACTTAGTTAAATGTCAAATTAATGCAAATATAAACATTAGCTTGAATAAAAGCCCTTATAACACATATCAGTGCTAGTAGGCTCCACAGTGGTCATTTGTCTGTAGGCTCCACACTGGTCATTTGTCTGTAGGCTCCACAGTGGTCATTTGTCTGTAGGCTCCACAGTGGTCATTTGTCTGTAGGCTCCACACTGGTCATTTGTCTGTAGGCTCCACAGTGGTCATTTGTCGGTAGGCTCCACAATGGTCATTTGTCTGTAGGCTCCACAGTGGTCATTTGTCTGTAGGCTCCACACTGGTCATTTGTCTGTAGGCTCCACAGTGGTCATTTGTCTGTAGGCTCCACACTGGTCATTTGTCTGTAGGCTCCACAGTGGTCATTTGTCTGTAGGCTCCACAATGGTCATTTGTCTGTAGGCTCCACAATGGTCATTTGTCTGTAGGCTCCACAGTGGTCATTTGTCTGTAGGCTCCACACTGGTCATTTGTCTGAGGAAGATAACTTAGTAGTCATCAAAACCTCACACTCAAATCTTCAAAAGTTTATGTAGTAAAAAATTCATTCTATTGACATTACCAACCCATAGAAAATGTCCTGAAATATGAAAATTGGCTGATTGTTTTCAGGAAAGACAAGTTTTTTTGTTCATGAAAACAATTCTGTTGTTTTGAAGTCATTTTGAAGGGTGTTTATAGGAACAAGAAAACAATTAGCATTTAATACACAGTTACACATGCAATATCATTTTAGTTTTGGTAGAAATCTTTGCTGTATGATAATCATCAAGCCTACAAAAAACATTTCTCTCACAAACCGAAATAAGTGACCCTATCCCCCTAATTGTCATTTCTTATCTACTCTTAAATATTTTGGACTATTTTTAAGATCTGTAATTGAAAATACAATTTGATATCTGGTATAAATGTGTGTTGTTCCTTTTACAGCGAGCTATAGAGCGAGGTGCTATTGTGGTCAAGGAACCATGGGAAGAGACTGATGAAGATGGCACTGTGAAATTAGCCATGGTGAAAACCTATGGGGACACGACACACACTTTTGTGGATAGATCTAAATACAAGGGTGTCTTCCTCCCGGGATATCGCGCCACAACTTTCAAGGACCCGCTCAATGACCTACTGTAAGTTTGTCAAATGTGTTGTGTTTCTGGTCTCTAAAAACTTCTGACCTGATACAAACACTTTGATGGTAACATGGTCAAGTGGTGTTATTAATAATCTGTGTCTAGGCTCACTCAAAGGTGGCCTCTGATTCCTGATAATCTGTGTCTATACTTACTGAAAGGTGACCTCTAATTCCTAATAATCTGTGTCTACACTTACTGAAAGGTGACCTCTAATTCCTGATAATCTGTGTCTACACTTACTGAAAGGTGACCTCTAATTCCTGATAATCTGTGTCTACACTTACTGAAAGGTGACCTCGAATTCCTGATAATCTGTGTCTACACTTACTGAAAGGTGACCTCTAATTCCTAATAATCTGTGTCTACACTTACTGAAAGGTGACCTCTAATTCCTGATAATCTGTGTCTACACTTACTGAAAGGTGACCTCTAATTCCTAATAATCTGTGTCTACACTTACTGAAAGGTGACCTCTAATTCCTGATAATCTGTGTCTACACTTACTGAAAGGTGACCTCTAATTCCTAATAATCTGTGTCTACACTTACTGAAAGGTGACCTCTAATTCCTGATAATCTGTGTCTACACTTACTGAAAGGTGACCTCTAATTCCTGATAATCTGTGTCTACACTTACTGAAAGGTGACCTCTAATTCCTGATAATCTGTGTCTACACTTACTGAAAGATGACCTCTGATTCCTGATAATCTGTTTCTACACTTACTCAAAGGTGACCTCTGATTCCTGATAATCTGTGTCTACACTTACTCAAAGGTGACCTCTGATTCCTGATAATCTGTTTCTACACTTACCTGGTATTCTAAATTGGCCTCTGATTCCTTATAGTCTGTGTCTACACTTACTCAAAGGTGACCTCTGATTCCTGATAATCTGTTTCTACACTTACCTGGTATTCTAAATTGGCCTCTGATTCCTGATAATCTGTGTCTACACTTACTCAAAGGTGACCTCTGATTCCTGATAATCTGTTTCTACACTTACCCAAAGGTGACCTCTGATTCCTGATAATCTGTTTCTACACTTACTCAAAGGTGACCTCTAATTCACGATGCAACATTTTCAATCCTTTTTTCATATTTAGCATTAAGGCTGATGGGACAATGTGAAGTATGTAAAAAATCTATCTGATAAGGTCTCCATTAGGTTGTTAAATGATGGCAGAAAGTTTAAGGTAAACTTTGTTGTTTCTGTGCCTCAGATTTGTTCAATTTTCCCCAAAGATTGACTGAAAACTTGGTACAATGTTCCTTTAATGTGGATCTAACATGGAGATAAGATCATTTAAAATGGGGACTGCTAATAAGCCCATCATCAGATGCCTATGTCAGTCTCTATATTTTAAGTATTTCACATTATGTCACTATTTGCAAAGTTCCCCTCTTGTCTTTTGAAACTTTGGGTACAATGTCAGGGCTCTCACACCCCATTTTGGGACTGGGGCCCGGGGGCCCTTTGAATTGGGAAAAATAATGGTGTTTTCCTTAGAATTGGGAAAACTTGGGGTCTGTATTGGGAAAAAAAGATACTATTTTGCATTGGGAATTCGGCCCCAAATCTGGCAGATCGAGAGCCCTGAATGTACCCCTCACAATATACATTGTATTTATATAGGAGACTGCTTGTAAATGGGAGGTACAAGTCACTGAATTTTACCAATTTGGTTGGGGGGGGGGGGGGGCTTGTACTCAATTTGGTTGGGGTTATGGGGAACACTGCTATATATATGTCACTGTTTATCTCTGTACACTTGGTTAAAATTTGTAATCAACTGATCTTGTCGCACTTTACTTTATATCAAAGCAACCTCATGACATCTATTTTATCGTAATATACATTATGCATCACTGTTTTCAGTCCAAAGACAAACTTGAAATTCATCGACCACATTGTGGGAAACCAGCCAGAAGATGACATGGTATCTGTGGCAGAATGGTAGGTTCATTTGTCTTACATGTTCTTTTCTATTTCATTCTACTAACCCTATATTCAAATATCATAAAAAATAACACTATAAACTAAATGTGTGTGATGATATATGTACAGCTTTGTGTTCAGTTTACTTTGAAACATATGCAAACATGAAAGTATTTATTTAATGAAATAGATATATGGGCATAATTTGTACAGATGTGTATTAGTGTCATGTACAAGTTAAATCTCTACCTCAATTTAAGTGACTTAAAAAATCTCTGGGTTTACACTGGATATTTATAGACAGACTCCTATATAATGTGAATTTAAAAACCTGAAAATTGATCCAGATGATAAAAACTTCTTGGTGGTCATGGAAACAGTTAGCTGGTCCTGATATCATTTAAACATGGTAAGTAATGAAGGAAGGATAGGTTTATCAATTATTTAGTAAGTATGAAAAGTTTTACTTGTTATTTGGTAGGTATGAGAGAAACCTGATGTTCCACAGATTCTGGTCTGTGGATGACAAACAGATACACACAGAGTACTCAGCCTTACGATCAATCGTGGTTACTAACTATGAGGAAACCATCAAGATGCCCATCAACGAGCCAGCCACAGGAAGGAGGAAAAGTCAGATTCAGGTGTGTAAAACTGACAGAGGATTCGTTAATCTGAATCATGATAGAGGATTTGTTAATCTGTATCATTATAGAGGATTGGTTAATCTGTATCATTATAGAGGATTTGTTAATCTGTATCATTATAGAGGATTCGTTAATCTGAATCATGATAGAGGATTCGTTAATCTGTATCATTATAGAGGATTGGTTAATCTGTATCATTGTAGAGGATTCATTAATCTGTATCATTATAGAGGATTCATTAATCTGTATCATTATAGAGGATTTGTTAATCTGTATCATTATAGAGGATTTGTTAATCTGTATCATTATAGAGGATTCATTTATCTGTATCATTATAGAGGATTCATTAATCTGTATCATTACCTTATATCTGTATATATCTGTAGCAATCCATAGAAATGAAGAACAGTTCCATATGAAGTTGTGTTAAAGATCACCGACAATACAAATAAAAAGTTACTTTTGCATGAAAAATCATGAGATAATATCTTAAAAAATTGATTGGTGTATTGCCCGGTGTACAGGTAGCACTGTATCTACCTGTAAACAATGTCAACAGTTAAAACATCTAGAGTTCTTTCCCTTTGTTGATCATTTGTGACTTCAAATCCGTCATCAGACACATATTTATCAGTAATGTTTATGAAGACTGTACATCGGCTGTATTTGATTTAGTAAGTCTGTCCAGCAGATGTAAAGTTTGTTATCAGACCAGAAGAGTTTGAGCCTCAAGGTAGCTAACTAAACACCAGATAATTTGTGCAATAAATCATATTCTAGCTTGTCCGATGCCAGCATAGATTATAGACATACAGTATTTTGATGAAAGGCGATTGTAACTTATTTTAACTTCTATTTATTCACTGCACATCTATATTTACATATGCGACAACTTTCGTGTATCTGAAGACATTATCATTCTATATAAATTAAGGGTTTTGTACTCTCTGCAGTGATGGGAACCGTCTTTTACTATTTTTCGGATTTTATTCAGATCTCAAAAATAAAAGAAAATTCCTTTTAATCTAAACATAATGTGTTTATGAAATGCAATATTCATCACATTATTCCTTGCTGTTAAGTCTAAAGTGCCCAGGTCTACGTAAGTAAACACCTACCCGTGGGGAAATTTTTATGCTTACTGGCAAATTTTGTAATGCATAAAAATGAATTACTATTTCAGCTTCCAGTTTGCTTTCATCTTGGATTCTGTGATGTATCTAACTACTTTCATGCTTGTCAGTAAATACATAGTGTTAAGCTGTTTGGATTTGCTTCTGGTGTTTTTTATCTGCGTATTAAGATATAACATTATCTCTTGACAATTGTATACATCTTATTGTAAACGATTGTCAAAAAATCAATCTTATATCTTGTACACCCCATGCCTACTACACTCCACTCCATTCCTCACAGAAAATGCAGTAAGTACACATGTAAGCTGGGATAGAAAAACAAAGAGAAACACAGAGCAGGACTTTATATCTTCGATGAAAGTGTACAAATTTCACAGTAACACATGCACACGTGCTGTACAACATCAACAACTTCCACATGTTGTGCATTAAATGTGTAAATATAGATGTATCATATAATTATCACTTGGTGTTTGCCAATTGTTATCCTAGAACAAGGAGATGTAAATCAATAGTTACTGTGAAGTCTGGTATTAACTGTAAAACCAATGTATTTGCTGAACTGTTTTCAAAGATAGCTTAGGACACTTCATAAATGCATCCAGTGAGCAGGAATCTATCTCTGCTATCCTTCCCCACCATCAGTAAAGGTTTTATTATATACTATAATCATGAAATACGTAAATGTGTAATTGAAAGAATATATAAGTATTCTGTCAGAATTTTTAAATGAAATAATCAATGTTATCTAATTTTATTCTGATATACGTAATAGTTTACAGTAGAGTCTATAATAATGGTACAATATCCGATCTCTAAGTCTGCTTAGCCTCAGTATGAAAATATACGATTAAATGTGACGTAATGTGACCTGGTGGTGAGTATTTACACACACCTGTGTCCAGGAGTGTAAAGGTGTCAAGGTATATTTCTAACATGAAAAGGATGTCAGCACTAGCTGAAATTGATATATATTTTCTAATTAACATTTTGGGCAGATATTACAGAGTTCACAGAAAGCCAAACCGTGAACAGGTAGTCAGACTCACCTGCAGCCGAACAACCTCGGCTACAACCAAATCGAGTGGGGATATCTATGTCAAAATTTGGATATATACAAAATATTGTTGCCAGTGACCTTTAAACCAGTAAAACCAAAAATGTGTATTTCATTACGGTGTTGTATTGTCCTATTTAAGATGCGTATTGAACCTGTGCTATGAGCCAATTAAAGACTTTTCTTGAAGTTTATGTTGTAAATCTCATAACTGGTCTTGTTTTGTTTGTTTGCTCGTAGGAATACGTGGACTTCAACGGAGGAGCTGGAGTACAGCACATAGCAATGAACACAGACAACATCATAGAAACTGTATGTTAGTCATGAATTTCCCTACAAACCATACATTAGTAGTGAATTTCCCTAGAGATCTTCCATAGTCATAACTTGTACTGATATGGAAAACAATAAAAAAATTTTTACCAGGTTGAATATTGAATTTAATGACGAGTTTTAATGTTGAATGAGTAATGAAAAACATCGTTTTTACAGATGTGTTAATTTGAAAATGTAAAATCAATTTGCTTTTCCATATTTTGATTGTGATATGTCCTAACATTTAACAAAGCTGCTAACAGTATTTACATTATCTCGGAAACATGTTACTGATTTGATGTTCTGTGTGACTCGTCTGATTTCATCAGAACTGAAAATTGAAAAATAAATGCCATACCCAGGAAATTAAGATACTGAAAATGTCCAGGACTAATTGAAATGTAATTTTTTTTCAGGTATCACGTATGAAAGCTCGTGGTCAGGAATTTCTCGAGATTCCTATGAAGTATTATGATAACCTTAGAGAGAGGTTAAAGCACTCCAATATCAAGGTCACCGAAAACATGGATACTGTACGTATTGGCTTTGTTAGGAAAACTTGATATCTGATCACTATGTCAAATATTACTGTAATTTCAGTAAATTGCCTAATAATAAACTATTATTGTTATTTGTGATACTAAGAAGACTTATTGTTACAGCTACAGAAGCTAAGGATCTTGGTTGACTTCGATGAGAATGGCTACCTTCTACAGATCTTCACAAGGATGATGCAGGACAGACCAACACTTTTCCTGGAGGTCATTCAGCGACACAACAACAGTGTTAGTATATATCTACTGTGGTATAGGGGGAACACAACAACAGTGTTAGTATATAACTACTGTGGTATAGGGGCAACACAACAACAGTATTAGTATATAGCTACTGTGGTATAGGGGGAACACAACAACAGTGTTAGTATATAACTACTGTGGTATAGGGGCAACACAACAACAGTATTAGTATATAGCTACTGTGGTATAGGGGCAACACAACAACAGTATTAGTATATAGCTACTGTGGTATAGGGGGAACACAACAACAGTGTTAGTATATAACTACTGTGGTATAGGGGCAACACAACAACAGTATTAGTATATAGCTACTGTGGTATAGGGGGAAACAACAGTGTTAGTGTATAGCTACTGTGGTATAGGGGCAACACAAATACAGTGTTAGTATATAGCTACTGTGGTATAGGGGCAACACAACAACAGTGTTAGTATATAGCTACTGTGGTATAGGGGGAAACACAACAACAGTGTTAGTATATAGCTACTGTGGTATAGGGGCAACACAACAACAGTGTTAGTATATAGCTACTGTGGTATAGGGGGAAACACAACAACAGTGTTAGTATATAACTACTGTGGTATAGGGGGCGACACAACAACAGTGTTAGTATATAGCTACTGTGGTATAGGGGGTGACACAACAACAGTGTTAGTATATAACTACTGTGGTATAGGGGGCAACACAACAACAGTGTTAGTATATAGCTACTGTGGTATAGGGGGCGACACAACAACAGTGTTAGTATATATCTATTGTGGTATACGGAGCAACACAACAACAGTGTTAGTATATAACTAATGTGGTATACGGAGCAACACAACAACAATGTTAGTATATACAGTGTATAGGGGCAACACAACAACAGTGTTAGTATATAGTATATAGTATATATCTACTGTGGTATAGGGGCAACACAACAACAGTGTTAGTATATAGCTACTGTGGTATAGGGGGAAACAACAATAGTGTTAGTATATAGCTACTGTGGTATAGGGGGCGACACAACAACAGTGTTAGTATATAGCTACTGTGGTATAGGGGCAACGCAAATACAGTGTTAGTATATAGCTACTGTGGTATAGGGGCAATACAACAACAGTGTTAGTATATAGCTACTGTGGTATAGGGGGAACACAACAACAGTGTTAGTATATAACTACTGTGGTATAGGGGCAACACAACAACAGTGTTAGTATATATCTACTGTGGTATAGGGGGCGACACAACAACAGTGTTAGTATATAACTACTGTGGTATAGGGGCAACACCACAACAGTGTTAGTATATAACTACTGTGGTATAGGGGCAACACAACAACAGTGTTAGTATATAGCTACTGTGGTATAGGGGGAAACACAACAACAGTGTTAGTATATAGCTACTGTGGTATAGGGGGAAACACAACAACAGTGTTAGTATATAGCTACTGTGGTATAGGGGGAAACACAACAACAGTGTTAGTATATAGCTACTGTGGTATAGGGGCAACACAACAACAGTGTTAGTATATAACTACTGTGGTATAGGGGGAACACAACAACAGTGTTAGTATATAGCTACTGTGGTATAGGGGGAGACACAACAGTGTTAGTATATAGCTACTGTGGTATAGGGGGAAACACAACAGTGTTAGTATATAGCTACTGTGGTATAGGGGGAAACACAACAACAGTGTTAGTATATAGCTACTGTGGTATAGGGGGCAACACAACAACAGTGTTAGTATATATCTACTGTGGTATAGGGGCAACACAACAACAATGTTAGTATATAGCTACTGTGGTATAGGGGCAACACAACAACAGTGTTAGTATATAGCTACTGTGGTATAGGGGGCGAAACAACAACAGTGTTAGTATATAGCTACTGTGGTATAGGGGGAAACACAACAACAGTGTTAGTATATAGCAACTGTGGTATATGGGGAAACACAACAACAGTGTTAGTATATAGCTACTGTGGAGAGTTAATTACTTTTGAAAATATTGACAATAATTGTCATTCTGTTTATAAATTGATTTTTTTTAAGAATTCTCCTAATTTACATTTACACAGAGATAATCAAGTGCTGAAAAATGCTGAAATAATATTTGAAGAACATCAGGACATTAGAAATGATTATCATTCAGATTTTTCAACATCTGAGAAGTACATATGAGTGCATAGTTATGAATGTGATTCACATGTTGAGAGTTTGGAGGTCTCTCCACCAGTAGAAATCTCATGAGGTGTTTTGAGACGTAATTATTTGATAAATGAAAGAGTTGGATTTAGAAGGATTTCACATTATTAGTCTGCTGCCTGTGAAACTGAGGGGGAACTATGATTTTCTGTCCTTCCACCAGTCCCTCTGACAAAATTTGAGTTGTTGGGTCTAGGTCAACTGTTCTTTATAATCGGTTACTCACTAATCATATTGTTTTTTGTTTTTTTTTCCAAATTTATGCTAAACTGCGCCATCTTTATAGATTATTACAATATTATCATCAATAGTATGTGAGGACCATCATGTAGTAATTTACCAATACTCAGTATGCTTGTTAGCTTCGTTCAAATCAAGTATTAGGCTTTCATATCATGTAAACCACAGGGGCCTTAAACAGTGTTTCTAGGGGATGAGAGCTTGTATGTTATACTATCCCAGGGGCCTGTAACAGTATTTCTAGGAGATAAGGATGTGTATGGTATACTGTCACAGGGGCCTGTAACAGTATTTCTAGGAGATAAGGATGTGTATGGTATACTATCACAGGGGCCTGTAACAGTATGTCTAGGAGATAAGGATGTGTATGGTATACTAAACAAGCCCTCAGTCCCCAGAATGTTCAAGTTGGTCTTTATTTCATGCTATCATATGACTATGAATTGATGATTTAATAAACACTTTTGTTTTACTATTTCAGGGATTTGGAGCTGGAAACTTCAAGTCGCTGTTTGAAGCTATTGAACTGGAGCAAGCAGAAAGGGGCAATCTGTGAAAGGATAGTGATAATGTGAGCCATGATGAGGTTGTCATGTCCTCACAAAAAAATTCTTATATATACAGTGGGATGTGATGTGAAAGTGATGATAGATTGCTTAAAGGAAAGGAGACATTGGTGGACACAGAACATTGTGTGCAGCATATGATAACATATCTTTGTACAAAATCTCTTCCATTCGCTTTCTTATATACACATTCATCAATCAAAACATTTTAATGTATTTGAAACCAGACTTGTAAGTTTAACTTACTAAAGTTTGGCTTGGGTGTTAAACACTAGACTTGTAAGTAATGTACTTCAGGTTGCCTGTTATGTTAGACACTAGACTTGTAAGTTTAACTTACTAAAGTTTGGCTTGGGTGTTAAACACTAGACTTGTAAGTTTAACTTACTAAAGTTTGGCTTGGGTGTTAAACACTAGACTTGTAAGTAATGTACTTCAGGTTGCCTGTTATGTTAGACACTAGACTTGTAAGTTTAATGTACTTCAGGTTGCCTGTTATGTTAAACACTAGACATGTAAGTTTAATGTACTTCAGGTTGCCTGTTATTTTAAACACTAGACTTGTAAGTTTAATGTACTTCAGGTTGCCTGTTATTTTAAACACTAGACTTGTAAGTTTAATGTACTTCAGGTTGCCTGTTATTTTAAACACTAGACTTGTAAGTTTAATGTACTTCAGGTTGCCTGTTATGTTAAACACCAGACTTGTAAGTTTAATGTACTTTAGGTTGGCTGTTATGTCAGACACTAGACTTGTAAGTAATGTACTTTCGGTTGCCTGTTATGTTAGACACCAGACTTGTAAGTAATGTACTTTAGGTTGGCTGTTATGTCAGACACTAGACTTGTAAGTTTAAGTTGTGAATGGTTAGCTGGGTTGTAAGTACTGAACTTGTAAGACTTTTATGTTGATAAAATGACAGCTTAGAATTTCATAAGATGATTAATATGATTTTTTCCTGTTGTCAATTAAACAAATTCTTTCAAGTGCATCACATTTGAAAATATATATCCTTACTTACAACCAAACAGATGATCACTAATTTTAATATCTGTTATATTGGGTGAGTTCAGTGAATACTGAGAATTTAAATGAATAAATTCCAACTTGAACCTTACATACAAAATGCAGATAATTTTTCATTGTTATAGTATAGTAGAGAATGCACTTTATCAATTTAAAATTATCTAGATGTATTGATTAAATATACATTAATTAATTTTTCTTTTGTGACAAACATCATGATGCACAAGATTTCCTGGCGAGTCTAAAGTATCGTTCACACATTTTTTCCCCCATGAGAATTTTGAAAATTTGGCAGGTATGGTAAGTTTAACTTAGGTACGCTTCCCTTGGACTTGAATGATGCTGTTCAATTTTTTCAGTATTTTAATTTTTTTTTTGGGGGGGGGAGTTAGAACTTGATCATGCTTTACCAATTTTCCTTTCAATCAGATATATACCAGTCCAGTATTAGAGTGATAATCTTGTTTGTGATTTACAATCATCTGTGTTTGTTTTAGGTATATATTGTTGTCTGGCAGGTGACCTCAGACCTTTTTACAATCGATAAGGAAATCATACCCTGGTCACCACAGTTGAGTGGTTCATCCACTTCACTACTGGACCATCAAGTAGAACATATGTTCTTCTATGTCATGTTTTACAGTGGTGAAGTAGTCTTATGATGAAACTAAGGTAACACAGGCAAGACCCACTTCATTGATGTTTCAATCAGCACAAACTGATGAAGCAGGAAACAGGATGCAGGACTAACTTAACATGGCTAGTCTGCTGAAAGGTCAAGGGTCGTTATACTGAATGTTAATTCCAATAAATAAGTTTAAAATTGGAAAATGTAATTTCACTACTCAGTGAAACATTCACAGTTCAAGTCAGAATAGTATTCGTTGATTTTATCATATACATATGTACTAAACTCTTCAGCATTATAATCAGACATTAATGTGTGGTGTTGGTGTATTAGTCAGAGAAATGACAGTCTGTTCATAATTTTTAATGTCATGGTTGTGTCTGTTATTGTTGTCACGTGACCTAAGCTGTTGAGGAGAATTAAGACCTCACATAATCAGAAAATAATTATAATGATAAGTATACAGATAGCCTTATGAACATGTATTAGAACCATGAATTCTGATTATTTACAACTCTGTAAAATTTCACAACTTAAAGAGTGTAGCATTGTGTTGATCTGTGTTATGATTGGTTTTAGTATACTTCCCATGTACCCAGCTATTAAGTGACTGTAATTTACCAATCAACACTCTTTTATGTGGGATCTTTTTCTTTTAAATAGTTATATGAAATGCATCCCTCCATTTTTTTTATAAAGCTCACCTAGCCCTAATGGCCAAGTTTACAACAAGGGTGGGACCCAATAGGGAAATTATGTCAGAAATTAAATTAATTAATTTTAATTAATTTCTTTATTAAATATCTGAATAGCTTAATGAGCCGGATGAGCGATGCAGACCCATTGGACATCTTGTTTTTTTTCTTTGTTTTTTATTAATAGCACTTTGTGGAAAGTTTAAAGAAAGTCACTAGAATTAGGAATCATATACAGGAAGGAAAACTGATACAAATAGAGCTAATGGATCTACTACTAAACAGTGTAACTGGTAATACGTGATGTGATTAATTATGTAACCTATACAAAGATATTTTTTTTATTTGCAGTATTTGTAAATATGGATTATCTAACAAACATTTAATGCTTTATATATAAGATTCTTTAAAAGTGTGTTCAAGATTGGCAACCAAGATCAGTTGTACCTTGTTTCCAAACTTAAGAGCAACGATGAATTTTCAGAAAGAGTTAACTCACAGAAACAAGAGTTTAGTATTTGTCCAAAAGTGGGCTGATTTCAAGGACAACAGAGAATTTCCCTTTGACTGGTCTTTGGCATTGAAAGATACATTTATGAAGCCTACATAACATCAAAATGCTGATTCTGTGGTATAATGACAGATTCATAAAACACAAGGTGAGAAATATTTCTATTTACATCTAATATATATAAACTTTATCTATTTTACAACAATTGTGAAACAAGCTTTCAGCTTATATCAGTCACTCTTGTTGGCCTGGATGGAAGCACATGGGAGGTGTTACTGTGGGAGGAAACTGGAGTACCCAGGGAAAACCCACATATATTCGGGCTGGTCTTTCCATACCTTTTTATGTCCTTTTCAGGATTTGAACCCCGGACGGTTAGGTGAAAGGCAAGTGTGCTACCACTGCACCACCTGACCATCCATAAACATAACATGTAGTATTAAAGTACTGGAAACTTACATACATGTAACCTAGCTCTGAACTTTCCCAGCCCTGAGGCAGCTTGACAAAGATTGTGTATACTGTAAACCTGCAGCCCTGAGGCAGCTTGACAAAGATTGTGTATACTGTAAACCTGCAGCCCTGAGGCAGCTTGATAAAGATTATGTATACTGTAAACCTGCGGCCCTGAGGCAGCTTGACAAAGATTGTGTATACTGTAAACCTGCAGCCCTGAGGCAGCTTGACAAAGATTATGTAGAATTCGGTTCGACCGTTCTCTACTTGTATTGAGGATGTAAAATTTCTTTGGATATAGAATGTTTACCATATTGGCATGTACAGTCTTTAAACTATGTTTATTCTCTTGAACAATATTTGAAATTAAATAATACCTAAATTATGTACAGTTATATGTAATGTTGAACTAAAGGTGTGAAGAAAACGGTACTTCTAATAATCCATGAAGAATTCAATCATTTACATTTTCTTTGAAATAAGAAAAACAAATAAATAGTTTTACTGATATGAAGAGTGAAGAAACAGAGAAGTTTCAGTTCTTTGTTGGTTTGGTGTGTTGGTGATGATTCAGAATTGTAATATTTGACTTTCTCCTCTTTATAACCAGACAGGTGTTACTGTGATCAGTTCCATGATATGTATTTAGATGTTGGTATGATTTATCCCTTTTTTTATTTTAAAAAAAAAAAAAAATTTTTTTTCTGTTTTCTTGTGTGATTATGGCTTTGTTTGATGTACTAACTGTTATCTGGACCAAAAGAATAAAATGTGAATGTTTAAACATAGGGAAGTGTTCTGTGCAAGCATGTCTTTTGATGTTAGTTTTGGAAGACTGACTATCCATCAAACAAGTTTTTGATTCAGTCAAGTTACAACAAAAAAATGGGAAAAAAGTAGCCTGAAATCTTAGGTTAATTGTAAGGAATCACAGGAAAAAAGTAGCCCGAAATCTTAGGTTAATTGTAAGGAATCACAGGAAAAAAGTAGCCCGAAATCTTAGGTTAATTGTAAGGAATCACAGGAAAAAAGTAGCCTGAAATCTTAGGTTAATTGTAAGGAATCACAGGAAAAAAGTAGCCTGAAATCTTAGATTAATTGTAAGGAATCACAGGAAAAAAGTAGCCCGAAATCTTAGGTTAATTGTAAGGAATCACAGGAAAAAAGTAGCCCGAAATCTTAGGTTAATTGTAAGGAATCACAGGAAAAAAGTAGCCCGAAATCTTAGGTTAATTGTAAGGAATCACAGGAAAAAAGTAGCCCGAAATCTTAGGTTAATTGTAAGGAATCACAGGAAAAAAGATTTTGTTCAGGAAATGTGTTAATGGCTTCTCTGGGATCAAGAAAATAAGGAAGATGAAATTAGTTAGAGATGTAACTATAAAATGAATAGTTTATTTACAAACATCAGCACAATGTTCCATATTGTCACATCACTACCCTTTAAGGCTAACACTCCATGCTCATAGAAATGATCTCGTTTGTGGTGTTCTATCAGTTCATTTCCATCGTAGTTTTGATCCATGCCATAAAATGGCTGTTGATTTATTTCTCGTCTGTCCCTCTGTCCATCACACATTGGTTTACTTTTGGGCCTAATTCCTTGTCATTACATTTTCTTTGGTGCTTATTTGTTTTTTAGTGGAATTTCCTCTTGTATCTGTCATTAATGGGATAAAAATTGTTGATTCAATTTTCTGATATGTTTTCTGCTAAATATCTTGTTTTGACGAAAATTGGAAAGCTGGAATTTGACTTTGCTGGATTTCTTGTAAACAGAAGGTATTTCATCAAATGGGAGCAGGGATATTTCCAGTTTAAGTGATGCGGGATGTTTCCAGATATAGTGATTTGGGATATTTCTGGTGAAAATGATGTGGGATATATTCTGTGAAAGTGGTGTGGAATGTTTACAGTGAAAGTGGTGTGGGATATTTACAGTGAAAATGGTGTGGGATATTTACTGTGAAACGGGGATGGGATATTTACATTGAAACAGGAGTGGGATACTTAAAGTAAAACAGGAGTGGGATATTTACAGTGAAAGTGGTGTGGGATATTTACATTGGAACAGGAGTGGGATATTTACAGTGAAAGTGGTGTGGGATATTTACAGTGAAACGGAGTGGGATATTAACAGTGAAAGTGATGTGGGATTTAACAGTGAAAGTGGTGTGGGATATTTACAGTGAAACAGGGTTGGGATTTTTACAGTTAAACTGATGGGATATTTTTCTGGTGAGACAGGGGCGAGTGTATTTGTTTGTATATATATTAGTTCACATTACAAAAACTGCTCATTTGACGAATCTCAGTTATATCTGTAGTTTAGTTTTCTGTTGTTTGAGATTTTTAAAATTCTATTAGAAGTATTCCCTGAAGTATTGACTATATAGCACAGACAGCTAAAGCATGTAAATTACTCTCACGCATTTATGATCTCTGTAATAGTCTGCATAGCAACAGACACGAATATGTCAGTACTTTACTGATATACAAAACCTGACAGAAATGCTGTGTGTAGGGAATTTGTTTATAAATTTTGAAGCTGAAAGTATGGTAACAAGGTACTGGTGACTACAGATGGAAACAGGTGTGTCATCCCTTACATTAGTACTGAGAAGTATGTAACATTCATTGATTATATGACTGGATGAGACAGTTGTGAGCAAAAGTATCATTTTATTTCATGAATATGATTATTTGTAAAATTAACTTCTTGTGTGAAATAAACCTAGAGTTTCTTCTTAACAATGTCTTATTTGTTTTATAAGTGTATCCAGTGTGTGTGATATAGAAACTTCCATCCACATTTGTTTTACTGGTGTTGGATTACAAGCTTACACTTCAGAAAATGTTCACCCTCCGGAGGACATGTTTTTATCTCTTAGTAGTTGAACTTTCGCAGGACTTGTCTTGTGTCCGTTACTTAATGACTCCCTGGAGGACTTCTCTTGTGTCCATTACTAGCTGACTCTGTGGAGGACTTCTCTTGTGTCTGTTACTAGCTGACTCTGTGGAGGACTTCTCTTGTGTCCGTTACTAGCTGACTCTGTGGAGGACTTCTCTTGTGTCCATTACTAGCTGACTCTGTGGAGGACTTGTCTTGTGTCTGTTACTAGCTCACTCTGTGGAGGACTTCTCTTGTGTCCATTACTAGCTGACTCTGTGGAGGACTTCTCAGGTGTCCGTTACTAGCTGACTCTGTGGAGGACTTCTCTTGTGTCCGTTACTAGCTGACTCTGTGGAGGACTTCTCTTGTGTCCGTTACTAGCTGACTCTGTGGAGGACTTGTCTTGTGTCCGTTACCAGCTGACTCTGTGGAGGACTTGTCTTGTGTCCATTACCAGCTGACTCCCTGGAGGACTTGTCTTGTGTCCATTACCAGCTGACTCCCTGGAGGACTTGTCTTGTGTCCGTTGTGACTCCTTGGAGGACTTGGCCATTACTAGCTGACTCTGTGGAGGACTTGTCTTGTGTCCGTTACCAGCTGACTCTGTGGAGGACTTGTCTTGTGTCCATTACCAGCTGACTCCCTGGAGGACTTGTCTTGTGTCCATTACCAGCTGACTCCCTGGAGGACTTGTCTTGTGTCCGTTACCAGCTGACTCCTTGGAGGACTTGGCCATTACTAGCTGACTCTGTGGAGGACTTGTCTTGTGTCCGTTACCAGCTGACTCTGTGGAGGACTTCTGTTGTGTCCGTTACTAGCTGACTCTGTGGAGGACTTGTCTTGTGTCTTTTACCATCCTACTCTGTGGAGGTCTTGTCTTGTGTCCATTACTTTCTGACTCTGTGGAGGACTTGTTTTGTGTCAGTAACCAGCTTACCCTCCAGAGGACTTGTATTGTGTCCATTACTTACTGACTCTCTGGAGGACTTGTTTTGTGTCATTTACCAGCTTACCCTCCAGAGGATTTGTATTGTGTCCATTACTTACTGACTCTCTGGAGGACTTGTTTTGTGTCATTTACCAGCTTACCCTCCAGAGGACTTGTGTTGTGTCCATTACTTACTGACTCTGTGGAGGACTTGTTTTGTGTCTGTTACCACATGACCCTCCAGAGGACTTGTTTTGTGTCTGTTACCACATGACCCTCCAGAGGACTTGTTTTGTGTCTGTTACCACATGACCCTCCAGAGGACTTGTTTTGTGTCTGTTACCACATGACCCTCCAGAGGACTTGTTTTGTGTCTGTTACCACATGACCCTCCAGAGGACTTGTTTTGTGTCTGTTACCACATGACCCTCCAGAGGACTTGTTTTGTGACAATTACCAGCTTATCCCCTAGGGAACTTGTTTTGTGTTCGTTATCACATGACCCTCCGAATGATGTGTGTCTTTTACACTCTGAACAACTAGTCCATGCATATTACTACAAAATGTGCTCCACACGTTCCTGCTTGGAATACGAGACGTGAGGTATATAGCTAGCTTACTGATTACGATGGTATCGTGTCGTTCTCCTTACAAGTTACACAACAAGTGGTCATTGTATAGGACATTTCTTTCGCTCTCAAAACATTTTTCAACCATTCGAAAGACCGGAAGTTCAGATACTACTAATGATGTATACAGTGATCTGAGAGTGAAATAACACCAAGTATTGTGGTAAAAATGATAATAATGTATTTCTATGAATCTGTAAATGATAAAGATTGCCTATTTTGTAATTGATTTCTGAATCTTGTTTTTTTTTCGGAGATCTGTGTTATTATTGTTACATACACTATTGTGACGAGACAGTATCTAAACATGATACATTGTGACGAGTGAGTATCTTAACATAATACATTGTGACGAGTCAGTATCTAAACATGATGTATTGTGACGAGAGAGTATCTAAACATGATACATTGTTACGACTGAGTATCTAAACATGATACATTGTGACGAGTGAGTATCTTAACATAATACATTGTGACGAAAGAGTATCTAAACATGATACATTGTGAGGAGACAGTATCTAAACATGATACATTGTGACGAGAGAGTATCTAAACTTGATACATTGTGACGAAAGAGTATCTAAACATGATACATTGTGACGAAAGAGTATCTAAACATGATACATTGTGACCAGTGAGTATCTTAACATGATACATTGTGACCAGTGAGTATCTTAACATGATGCATGGTGACCAGTGAGTATCTTAACATGATACATTGTGACGAGTGAGTATCTTAACATAATACATTGTGACGAGTCAGTATATAAACATGATGTATTGTAACGAGTGAGTATCTAAACATGATACATTGTGATGAGAGAGTATCTAAACTTGATACATTGTGACGAAAGAGTATCTAAACATGATACATTGTGACGAAAGAGTATCTAAACATGATACATTTTGACGAAAGAGTATCTAAACATGATACATTGTGAGGAGACAGTATCTAAACATGATACATTGTGACGAGACAGTATCTAAACATGATACATTGTGACGAGAGAGTATCTAAACATGATACATTGTGACGAGAGAGTATCTAAACATGATACATTGTTACGAGTGAGTATCTAAACATGATACATTGTGATGAGTGAGTATCTTAACATAATACATTGTGACGAAAGAGTATCTAAACATGATACATTGTGACGAGAGAGTATCTAAACATGATACATTGTGACGAGAGAGTATCTAAACATGATACATTGTGACGAGTGAGTATCTAAACATGATACATTGTGACGATGACGAAAGAGTATCTAAACATGATACATTGTGACGAAAGAGTATCTAAACATGATACATTGTGACCAGTGAGTATCTTCACATGATACATTGTGACGAGAGAGTATCTAAACTTGATACATTGTGACGAAAGAGTATCTAAACATGATACATTGTGACGAGTGAGTATCTTCACATGATACATTGTGACGAGAGAGTATCTAAACTTGATACATTGTGACGAAAGAGTATCTTAACATGATACATTGTGACGAAAGAGTATCTAAACATGATACATTGTGACGAGACAGTATCTTAACATGATACATTGTGAAGAGTGAGTATCTTAACATGACACATTGTGACGAGACAGTATCTAAACATGATACATTGTGACGAGACAGTATCTCAACATGATACATTGTGAGGAGACAGTATCTAAACATGATGTATTGTGACGAGTGAGTATCTTAACATAAAACATTGTGACGAGTGAGTATCTAAACATGATACATTGTGACGAGTGAGTATCTAAACATGATACATTGTGACCAGTGAGTATCTTAACATGATACATTGTGACCAGTGATTATCTTAACATGATACATTGTGACGAGACAGTATCTTAACATGATGTATTGTGACGAGCGAGTATCTAAACATGATACATTGTGACCAGTGAGTATCTTAACATGATACATTTTGACGAGTGAGTATCTAAACATGATACATTGCGACGAGACAGTATCTAAACATGATGTATTGTGACGAAACAGTATCTTAACATGATACATTGTGACGAGACAGTATCTAAACATGATACATTGTGACGAGACAGTATCTAAACATGATACATTGTGACGAGACAGTATCTAAACATGATACATTGTGACGAGACAGTATCTTAACATGATACATTTTGACGAGTGAGTATCTTAACATGATACAATGTGACGAGACAGTATCTAAACATGATGTATTGTGACGAGTGAGTATCTAAACATGATGTATTGTGACGAGTGAGTATCTAAACATGATACATTGTGACGAGACAATATCTAAACATGATACATTGTGACGAGACAGTATCTTAACATGATACATTTTGACGAGTGAGTATCTTAACATGATACAATGTGACGAGACAGTATCTAAACATGATGTATTGTGACGAGTGAGTATCTAAACATGATACATTGTGACGAGTGAGTATCTAAACATGATACATTGTGACCAGTGAGTATCTAAACATGATACATTGTGACGAGAAAGTATCTAAACATGATGTATTGTGACGAGTGAGTATCTAAACATGATACATTGTGACGAGACAGTATCTAAACATGATACATTGTGACGAGACAGTATCTAAACATGATACATTGTGACGAGTGAGTATCTTAACATGATACAATGTGACGAGACAGTATCTAAACATGATACATTGTGACGAGACAGTATCTTAACATGATACATTGTGACGAGAGAGTATCTTAACATGATACATTGCGACGAGACAGTATCTAAACATGATACATTGTGACGAAAGAGTATCTTAACATGATACATTGTGACGAGACAGATACATTGTGACGAGACAGTATCTTAACATGATACATTGTGACGAGACAGTATCTAAACATGATACATTGTGACGAGACAGTATCTAAACATGATATATTGTGACGAAAGAGTATCTTAACATGATGCATGGTGACCAGTGAGTATCTTAACATGATACATTGTGACCAGTGAGTATCTTAACATGATACATTGTGACGAGACAGTATCTAAACATGATACATTGTGACGAAAGAGTATCTTAACATGATACATTGTGACGAGACAGTATCTTAACATGATACATTGTGACGAGTGAGTATCTTAACATGATACATTGTGACGAGACAGTATCTTAACATGATGTATTGTGACGAGCGAGTATCTAAACATGATACATTGTGACGAGACAGTATCTAAACATGATACATTGTGACGAGACAGTATCTTAACATGATACATTGTGACGAGAGAGTATCTAAACATGATACATTGTGACGAGACAGTATCT